AGAAACAGAATTTCCGGAGGACGAGGCCCAGAAATCAGGATTTTAAAAAGATTCCCAGGTGATTCTAATGTGCAGCCAAGGTTGAGAACCACTGAGCTAACATTTAATGTAGTGCTTACTGTATCAGAATATTAATCTGTGCTTATATTTAATAACATTTAAACCTCACAACTACTGTATAAGTTATTCACTTTACAGATTAGGAAAATGAGGCTACCCAAGTCACAGTTTATAAATAGTGTTGTCAGGATTCATATCCTGGTAATATCATTCCAGAACCCAGCCTTTTAATTATGAGAGTCATTTTTAAAATTGGATAATAAGATACAAAGGAACTGGTAGCAGAACTACCAGGGAATTTACTGTAGTGTTTACTTATCTAATGAATCAGATATGTTAAAGGCCATATTTTATATAAATCAGTTTTAGGGGGAACACTGCAGTGTCTGTGTTAAATTTATTACTTTCTCCCATTGCATTTTTACTTTGGAATGTCTATATTAGAGTTGATTGAAAACTGGCACATAGTATCTTAAAGGAAAAGAAAGATAGCTTACTGAATTAAATATTTTGTGTATTTTCTTATATTTGAAGATCAGTAATAGACGGGATTCTTCTGTTTTTAGAAACGTACTATAGGTACATCTTGAGTTGTGCATGTTTTTAATAGTCTGTATTAAATTGATATTTATCTAATCCTCATTGCATAGGATTAGATAAATATTTAAGTACTGATACAGAAAATCTTTCAAGATAAAAATATTTAACTTTAGAAGTGTAAGTATAGTATATACTTATATGCTAGATATAGTAGGAATTTTTTTTTTAAGCATCACAGGTGATTCAGATAATGAACCAGGTTTAGGAACTACTGAATTAGTAGGCCATACTTCCTTCTTAGTGAATTTCCAGACCTGAGATGATTTTTATATGGGCTGTTAGAAAATAATCTTACACTAATTATTCTTAGCAGCTTTTGCTTTCCCTGACTTTTTTCTTCTTTTCTCATTTTTCTACAATAGGTTATGCCAAAGTGGCTTCATTCATACAGATGAACCAAGGATTGGGATAGCAAGTACAAAATTAGAATCAAACAGCTGATTGCCCAGCAGGATGCCATCAACTAACAGAGCAGGCAGCCTGAAGGACCCTGAAATTGCAGAGCTCTTCTTCAAAGAAGATCCAGAGAAGCTCTTCACAGACCTCAGAGAAATTGGCCATGGAAGCTTTGGAGCAGTGTATTTTGTAAGTGTTAAAGGCTTACTGTCAGTGACCAGTAAGCCTTTATATTTACTTAATATCCAGTTCTGGCAGAGTAAAAAGCAATAATACAAAGAGATATAGGCCATAGTACATTTTATGGTCACTTGAATAGATGTGTGTGTATAATATGAGAATAGTTCTTGCTGTCCCCAATTTGCTGACAGTTTTTATCATAAAAGGATGTTGGATTTTTGTCAAATGTTTTTTCTGCATCTATTGATAAGATCATATGATTTTTAAAAAATCCTCACCTGAGGATATTTCCTCCATTGGTTTCTAGAGAGAGTGGAAGGGAAAGAGGAGGGCAAGAGAGAGAGAGAAACACCAACGTGAGAGAGACACACGGATCAGCTGCCTCCTGCACGCACCCCTGCTGGGGCTGGGGCTGGGGAACCTGGAACCAAGGTACATGTCCTTGACCAGGAATCGAACCCTTGACTCTTCGGTCCATGGGCCGATGCACTCTAACCACTGAGTATAACTGACCAGGGCTGATTATATGATTTTTATTCTTCATTTTGTTGATGTTGTGTAGCACATTAATTTGATTTGCAGGTATTGAACCAACCTTGCATCCTAGGAATAAATTTCACTTGATCATGGTGTATGAACTTTTTAATATTGCTGAGTTTGATTTGCTATTATTTTGTTGAGGTTTTTGTATCAATGTTTATCAGGGATATTGGCCTATCATTTTATTTTTTTGTAGTGACTTTGTCCGGTCTTGGTATCAGGGTAATACTAGCCTTCTAAATTGAGTTTGTGAGCCTTCCTTCCTGTTCAGTTTTTTGGAATAGTTTGAGAAGGATAGGTATTAATTCTTCTTTGAATGTTTGGTCAAATTTATCTGTGAAACCTCTGGTCAAGGGCTTTTGCTTGTTGAAAGTTATTATTATTACTATTATTATTACAGATTCGATTTTGTTAGTAGTTATTGGTCTGTTCAGATTTTCTGTTTCTTCCCAATTTAACCATGGAAGATTGTGTGTTTCTAAAAATATATCCAGCCATAGCTGGTTTGGCTCAGTGGATAGAGTGTCAGCCTGTGGACTGAAGGATCCCAGGTTCGATTCCGGTCAAGGGCACATGCCTGAGTTGTGGGCTTGATCCTCAATAGGGGGCATGCAGGAGGCAGCCAATCAATGATTCTCTGTCATCATTGATGTTTTAATCCAGTGGTTCTCAACCTTCCTAATGCCGCGACCCTTTAATACAGTTCCTCATGTTGTGGTGACCCCCAACCATAAAATTATTTTCGTTGCTACTTCATAATGAAGTTTTGCTACTGTTATGAATCCTAATGTAAATATCTGATATGCAGGATGTATTTTCATTGTTCGTGACCCACAGGTTGAGAACCGCTGTCTCTCTCTCCTTTCCTCTCTGAAATCAATAAAAGTGTATTTAAAAAATATAAAAATATATCCATTTCTTACAGGTTGTTCAATCTGTTGACATGTAATTGTTTGTATTATTTCCTTATATTTCTGTGGTGTCGGTTTTCACTTCTTGTTCATTTGTGATTTTATTTGAGCCTTCTCTTCTTTTTTTCTTGATGATTTGCAAATATTTTCTCCCATTCCATATATTGCTTTTCACTTTGCTGATTCTTTCATTTGCTGTACAGAGCTTTCAATTTGAGGTAGTCCCACTTACTTATTTTTGCTTGTGTTGCTTGTGCTTTGGGTGTCATATTCAGAAAATTGCTCCCAAGACCAGTGTCAAGGAGTTTTTTTCTCTATCTTATCGTTGTTTTCATTGAAGTATTTTACATATTTATATTTGATGCAGTCACTAATATAGCTGGGTATAAGTTTATTGTTTTCTATTTGATTTCTATTTGTCCTATCTGTTCTTCCTTTATTCATCCTCATTCTTGTCATCTTTTGAATTAGTCAAGTATATATTGTTATTTTTGTTTTAAAGTATAGGTTTTATTATTATTCACATATGAGGAAGCCAATAGGTCAGGTAATAACTGCCATTGAAAGATAGTTTGTGCTCTGGCCACTGTGGCTCAGTGGAAGAGCCTCAGCTCATGCACTGAAGGGTTACAGGTTTGGTTCCTGGTCAAAGACAGTACTTGGGTTGCAGATTCGTCCCAGTGTGTGTGGGAGGCAACCAATTGATGTCTCTTTCTCACATCGATGTTTCTCTTTCTGTATCCTCCTACCCCTTTCCACTCTCTCTAAACATCTCCTCGGGTGAGGATTAACAGTAAAAAAGAAAAGAATAGATAGTTTGTAAAACTCACAGATCCCAAGGAAAGGAAGTATATCATGCCAAAAGGGGGACACGTGAAGTACTGGTTTAGTTGAGGAGGCAGAGGAATCAAGGGAAATACATGGGCAAGAACTTTTATTGTGATTTCTGTGGGAAGGAACGGGAGTGGCAGGAGTATAGAGGCTGTCCCTAGTTGTCCATTACTTGGCCTATGCCGATTAGATCGGGAGATGGGGGATTCAGAGTGCGAGTCATTGAAGATACCGGCTCTGGATTGGTGATTTGTATATGTAAGATGTGCTTGTTTACTCTCTCTAGTCTAGAGTCTAGGAATAAGCCAAACCTGGGAATGGCAGACTTTTTTGTTAGCAAGGCCCCAGATGTCAAATTATAGTACACAAAAAGACATGAGTAATACAAGTTTTAACTCTATTAACCTTTTGATAATGTATTTTTATTATTCTGTTACCATAGCGATTATAATGGATATATTCTTGATTTACTTTCGTTAAATTGGCACTTTTACCACTTCTCAAATACTAATGTAAAAAATGCTTAGTATTTCAACTCTGTCTTTCAGCTTTCTTTTTGCAATTTTTCTTGTATATCTTACTTCTAAAATATTTATTGGGTTCCCATTTTGTTTGTTTTTTAAAAAGTCTCTGGCAACTCCAACATCTGAATCCCCATTGGGTCTGTTTATATTTTTAGTTTTTCCCTTTTCAGTATTTGGTCCATTTTTTAGAATGACATAATTTCTTAAAAATATACTTTTATTGATTTCAGAGAGCCAGGGAGAGGGAAAGAGAGAGAGAGAAGAGAGACATCAGGGATGAGAGAATCATTGATTTGGCTGCCTCCTGCATGCCCCCTACTGGGGATTGAGCTCACAAACAAGGCATGTGCCCTGAGGAGGAATCGAACTCTGACTTCCTAGTTCATAGGTCGATGCTCAACCACTAAGCCATGCCAGCTGGGCTGCATGACATAATTTTTGATTGCTTCATTATAAAGGAGAATTTGTAGATGTTTTGAATGATGTTATTTTTCTTAAAAAACAGTTGTTATTATTATTATTATTTTGGCAAGCTGATAAAATACTGGTTGAATCACTTTGAGAGGCTTTGTTTTAACCTTTGTTAGGGCTACTTGACATCAGTTTTCCCTTATTACTAGGCCTTGGCCTTATTCTTTTCTTTTTTTTAAGTTTTTAAATTGTTTATTTTTATTGATTTCAGAGAGGAAGGGAGGGAGAGAGATAGAAACATCCAATGATGAGAGCAAATCGTTGATTGGCTGTCTCCTGCACGCCCCCTACTGGGAATCGAGCCCGAAACCCACTCATGTGCCCTTGAGCAGAATCGAACCCGGGACCCTTCAGTCCACAGGCTGACGCTCTGTCCACTGAGCCAAACCAGCTAGGGCCTTGGCCCTTATTTTTAAAGCATGGCTCTTCTGGAATCCCAACTGAATTTCAAGGCTCAACCATTTTAGTGGGTTTGAATTCCCACCTCCATCTCTCTAGCTCTTCTCGTCTTCTGAAAGCTCTGTTATCTCTTTCGTTTTCCAGCTGCCTGTTTTTTGCTGAGTTTCTGGGAGTCTTATGCAGATACATACTTGGGAGTTTACTATTTACTTTGCAGATTTTGGAGCTGCTTTTCAGCTGTCTTTTCTAAGATTGTGCCTTTTAAATTCCAGCCACTTTGGAAGCTCTTGTCTTTGGCCTCTGTCTCCTTGGACTCTTTTCCTGTGCAACAAATTCAGGCATGAAGCTGGAATAAATTTACAGCTCACTTTATATACTGTTCTTCTCTGGAGGATTCTAGTCTCTGAAGTCTTGCCTGCATGTGTTGCTCTCTGATAGTTTCATATAATTGTTTTACATAGATGCCTGCTTTATGGTTAATTTGGGCTTTAGGAATTGTCTAGCATAAGCATCATGGCAAGAATTAGTATTGAAATTTCCTTTAGTTAATATTATATGCATGGACTTTTCATATGTCCTTCTGTAAAAATATGTGTTTTTGGAGTTTTGGTCTTTCATTGTTACTGTTGAAAAGTATAACATTTCAGTAGGCTCTCTTTAGACCTTTCCAAATAATCTATCTAGTGGGGGAAGTAATATTATTGTCCTTTTCCTTTCATTAAAGGGACTGAATTAAATCACATATCAGCAAAATACCAGTGGTTTAACATTTTAAAATAAAACTATAAAAATTGGATTATCCCAAATCCAGAACTTGTCAGTAGTGTTTGTTGAAGTGTATGACTGGTGTAGTTATGTTTTGAGTTAAGGTTGTAGTGGGAACTAAGGATATGATCAGAGAAAGGTAAAAAAGAAACACAAGTGAGGACTCTCGAAGAGAGCCTCCTCCACTATACTAAAAAATGTGAGCCTTATTCTGAAGTCTTGAGGGAAGTGAGGTACAACAGAAATACTGTCTTTCCATTTGTGATATAGAAAGTTTATTCTTACTGCAGTGTGGAGAAAAGATTGCATGTGCCAAAAATCAAAGAAGAAAGACTGATTATGAAGCTTTTGTAATAATTTAGGAAAGAAATGCTGAGGGCTTAAACTAGATATTGACAGTGAGGGTGCAGAGGTGAAAACACATTTAAAAGTTTAAATTGATAGCATCAAGAGAACTTGCTTTTCTAACAAGGTAAGAAGGTGCACATTGTATTTCCTCACCCATGGAATAGAATTTTTTTTTTTAAATATATTTTATTGATTTTTTACAGAGAGGAAGGGAGAGAGA